TCGGAGCCCCTCCAGCTTTGGGGTGTTTAAACCCAGGTGCCCATCACTCCTTGGGCCCATCAACCTTGAGGTACTTAACCCTGGGTTCCCATCACACTTGGGGTGGATAACCCTGGGAGCCCACCACCCCAGGGGCCCATCACCCTTGAAGTGGTTAAAGCCCATCAACCATTAGGCCCAACACCGTTGGGGCGGTTAACCCTGGGGGCCCATCGCCCTTGGGCAGTTAAAGCCAGGGCCCAACACCCTTTGGGCGCATCGTCCTTGGGGTGGTTAACCCCAGGGGCCCATCACCTTTGGGGTTTTTTACTCTTGGGGCCCATTAGCCCTTGGTCCCATCATCCTTGGGGTGATTAACCCTGGGCCCATCAGACCTGTGGTGGTTACCCTTTGGGCCCATCATATGTAGGGCCCATCACCCTTGGGGTTGTTAACCCTGGGGCCCCATCAGCCTGGGTGCCCGTCCCTTTTTGCTTTGAAGGACCTTGGGGCTGTGGTGCCCACTAAGGTGACCATAAGTAGCAACATGCGAAGAAGGCCATCACCATCCTGGGTGGCACTCGGAGGGGTGTGGCAGTAGGGTGTGTGCTCCTTCCTCTCCACTCAGCACTGATGAGCCAACCCTTTGAACACTGGGTCCAAGTCCTGGGCTACCAGTACAAGAGAGATGGAGTGACTGGGAGAGTCCAGTAAAGGGCCCCTGAGATGCTCCATGGCCGGGAGCCTCTTGGACGGGCTGTGTGAGCCAGACCTGTTCAGCCTGGAGAAGAGTTGGCTGTAGGAGGTCCCACCCAGGCGGGATCTCAGCAGTGACAGTGACAGGACAAGAGGCGCAGGGCAAAAACCGAGACACAGAGTGACTTGGGAGGACACTTCTTTACTGTGGGGGTGACTGAGGCTCCTCGGGGAGGTTCTGGGGTCTCTAACCGTGGAGCGATAAAAGGCCACCTGGATGTGGCTACAGTGGGCTCCCTGGGGCTTGCCTGAGCCCCCCAGCACCCCTTGAAGGGCCCTGCTTCCCCCCAGGGTCTTCCAGGGGCCCTCCCGAGCAACCCAGGATGCTGTGAAGTTCCTTGCAGCCCCCCCAGGAACTCTCCCAAGCCACCCCCAGGACCCCGTGAAGGTCCCAGCTGACCCCCAGGGACCCTCCTGAGCCCCCCAGCACCCCACAAAGGATTCTGCTGACCCCCAGAGACCCTCCCAAGCCCCTCCAGGACCCCATGAGGGTCTCTGCTGCACCCTGGGGACCCACAGGGTCTTTCCCGGGAGGGGGACAGCAGGTGACACTGGGGACACAGGAGGGGCTCAGCGCCTCCCCCAGGCCAGCGCGTGGAGGCGGTGAGCGGCATCGCGCAGCCGCCCACGGTGCTCAAGGCAGCAGTGCAGCCCAGGGGGGATGGGCGCCAGTCCCCCCCGCAGCCCCCAGCACCCAGCGG